AGCTCTGATACCCTGAAGAACAATTGAATCTTTTATATATTCTTTATGATCAGATACATTGTATATTTATACAGATATCATGTAACAAACTTTTAACAAACTATAACAAACTCTAACTAACTTTGAGTTAACAAACTCTAATTACTAACTAACCTGGGTTCAACAAACTAACTACTGAACTAACTAAACAAACTAACTACTGAACTAACTATCTTGAGGTCTTGAGCTTGCTGCAGAGCCATCTGATGCAGAGAGAATCTTATCATCCCCCGGCAAGCGGATGGGAGGAGAAGTGACCAGCAGCTTGGACTGAAGGTAATGAAATCGAGCAACAGACAGTGGTTTGGTGAAGATATCTGCAATTTGCTCAGCAGAGGGTATGTAGTAAAGAAGAAGCTTCTTGGAAGCAATTTTGTCACGAATAAAGTGACAATCAACTTCGATATGTTTGGACCTTGTGTGAAACACAGGATTGGAGGCTAAGGCAATGGCAGATAAGTTGTCACACCAAAGAATAGGAGTGGTTACAAGAGGGAGAGAAAGATCATGAAGAAGCATTTGTAACCAACTAAGTTCAGCCGTAGCAAGAGCAAGAGAACGATACTCCGCTTCGATGCTGGATCTAGACACGGTAGGCTGCTTTTTAGCAGACCAAGAGATGATGTTAGAACCAAGGAAAACACAGTAACCAGAGGTAGATTTGCGATCAACAGTGTCACCAGCCCAATTTGAATCAGAAAAGGCCTGAAGCTCAAACGAACTAGGATGAAAAGTTAAGGCGCTCGGCTCCAGCACGCGGCGCGCGTGCGGGCGCGGACGGCGCGCGTGCGTGGACAGCGCCGCCGACGCGCGCGTGATGGCGCGTGCAGGCGCGTCAGCAGGGCATCCGGCGCGTGGTGGCGCGTGGCGCTGCTGGGCGGCGTCATACAGCGCGTGTATCACACGCGCCGCCTTCCCGGGTGTTTTCTGGTCCGATTTTTGTACTGCCGGACTCCTTTTTTTCAAAATAAAACCGTTTATGGTCTTAAAAAAGACATTAATGAACATAAAAAAAATATTTATGCTCTTAATCTAATCAAAGTAGATTTTTTTTTTTTTTTTACAAACATTCATGTATATATTGTAAACATACACATGTAAAATAAACACCTGATTAAAGAAAACACGAAAATATCCATCAAAGGCTCTGATACCAATGTAAATCAGAGATACAAAACATGCAGCGGAATAAAATGTTTAGATCATACCTCATTTGATCTAAAATCTCGTGGATAAATCACGTGCTTCCAGAATCTAATCAATCAATCCCAGCAGTGGGGTGATATTACAATGGTGAATATCACCCGCACAAACCACAGTGCAAAATGACTTGATCGTTGTTTCTTGGGAGAGAGTCAGTTTATGGGTTGAAAAAAAAACTACGTTGTTTCTCTCTTGGGTTACCCATAACCATATATCAGATATATATTATATTATTATTATTTATCCATATCAGTTAAAACTGATAATATCTATATCCTGAGTGGTTATCCTAAATAGGTTTGAATTTAATTCAAAACCTATTTGGATAAGATCCAAATTATGTTCAAATGGTCATGCCACATGGGCGCCCATTACTAACATATTATGTTCGGTTGTCTTAGGCGTAGTGTAATACCTCTTTGGTAGCCTTACTTGCCTCATGTTCTTGCCTCTTTCTCTTAGCTTGTTTTGGCTTTGGTCATTGCATGTTTTAGGCTTACTTTTCCATGCTTTAGGACTATTTTGGGTCATGCTTGCCATATGCCCTTTGTTTTGTGTAGCTTTGGTTCAAGTCCCTTCACTAGCCTTAAGCTTTAGGCCTCCTTGCATGCTACATTTGTTTTGTTTGGTTGGTTTGGCATCACTCCTCACATGATTTCAGAGCTTAATGCATTGCCATACTCTCATGTTTATCACATCTTGCACATGCTTGAAGATTGTGCATTGTTGCCTAAGTGTTCGACCATTTGCATGTGCATTGTCGTTTTGCTTTTCGATGCTCCCAATTCATGACTTTGGCCACTATTTGGGCATGGATGAGGTCTTCCCATGTTGGTTTAAGTCCCTCTCTGCATGCTGTTCCATACTTGTCTTGCACGTTGCATGTTTACACGTTTAGATTGCATTACATTTGCCATGTTTGCTACCTTAAGCTTTGTGTGCATACTTGAGCCACATTGTGTTTGACATGTCACGCCCCAAACTCGTCCCTAAAAGTTCGGGCATGACCCATACAGAAACGGACACTTAACCTGCTATACGTAGTATATGGGGCCTTGGCGGAAGCACTAAAATTTAATCTAATAACAAACTCCATTGTGCTACCTCTAATATGCCAGGATCACATGCACCATATACATTATACTAACCAGTCACAAGCCAAAATTATACTATGAGCATCAGTCATATAGACATACATATACAGCCCCAGCCCTAAGATTGTTCATATGCAAAAACATTGAAGTCATGTACATTTAACCTTAAATGAGTAATCAAAAAAAAAAAAAACAAGACAATGTCTTAACAAAGCTTCACAAAACTGAGTGATCTCGCTTAGTGCCTGGACTCATAAAGGTTGACAAAAGGGGACGAACGTCCTGGTTGGTTACCTACAGGAACAGACATACGGAGGGTGAGCCAAACTCAGTGAATAGTAATATATAAATAAAATACTGCTTAACTTGAAACATTGTATAATAGAAATACACATGGATTCGTAACATTTCAATATTTATTGAACCATAAATTGTGTCTAATATGCTTTGGAAATAAGTGAGGATAGACATACGAACTAAATGCAACTTTTCAAATGTTCCTAAAAATAGGTCTCCGCTCAAGCGGACCATGCAATTTCTGAAATTCTACAATGCCAAGTAAAGTTCCAACCTGGTATTCAAAGCTTCAAACATGTACTTTCGTATACTAATGCAGCATTCACAATGCGAGTCTGAATCTGTTCTTATTCATTATAGACTTAGATCTTATCATGAAACATATTGGCTTGAATATAATGGTTTGGATTAATATCCTTGTATACTGTGGCACAAACCCTTAATCATGGTGGCACGAAGCCCATTAACATAGTGGCGCAAGGCCCTTAGATACTTACCAAGCTTCAAAACATATACTTACTAAGCTTCAAAACACATACTTACTAAGCTTCAAAAGATATACTTATCAATCTTTAAACATATGCTTACCAAACTTTAAAACATATGCTTATCAAACTTTAAAACATATACTTAAGCATACAATGCAAAGTCCACATGATTTGTCTGAGTCTGTTTCACTTTATAGGCCCTTTCTTGAAACATATCAGCTTGAACATAATGGTTGGCTTAAAGCCCTTGAATGGTGTGGCATAAGCCGTTAAACATTGGCATAAAGCCCTTGGAAGGTGGCTTAAAGCCCTTCAAAGGTGCCATAAAGCCCTTAAACATTGGCATAAAGCCCTTGGAAGGTGGCGTAAAGCCCTTGCAAATTGGCATTAAGAATGCCCTCGTAAATTGGCGTTAAGCCCTTGTAAATTGGCATTAAGAATGCCCTTGTAAATTCTTGTATGAACTCAAGAGGTGTCTCACATGGGTTCTAGCGGTGACTCACAATGTAGCACTTAGTCCCATGTAGCACTTTGTTTCATAACGTAGTTACTTCCATCGTATGGCCAAAGGCCCATAATCTTAAAGAATGAAAACACTTCATTTTTCCTCTTTTCTTCATATACACACATAAAAACATACCGTAATTAGATATCGTGTATAAACAAGGTGTTAATGACAATCATTAGCTATATATATGAAGCAGATAATGGTACTACTACTCACAGTGCTATAACGGAGTGCTTGTCCTTCTCAGGTTATGCCCTACACATGTAAACAACTTATACATTATGGGCATCAAACACAAATTCCAGAAATACTAGAGGGTTAAGCACGTAAAACAGACCAAACAATATTTTGCAGCATGAAGTTTCAAACCTACTTCTCCAACTCAATATATATATATATAAAAGATTACTAGTCTTACAAAATACATTATGGAATTTATACCCATTCCTCTTCTATTCAAAGAAAGAAAGGATTTTTATGAACATTTCCATGTTCCCCAAAACTCCTTAAATTTCTAGTGTTTCCACTAAAAACCAAACATTTCCCCATCCCCATAAGAAATCCTATTAAATCATTCTCTTGATTTAATAATTAAGCAAGCCCACAAATATTTAGTAAAATGATTTGAGATTAAACCCATTCTTGAAAACTTCACATTTTAGGTCACAAAAATTAATATCAACATAGTCAATACCATCCCACATAATCATCACAATTCAACATATCTCAAAAGGAATTCTTAAATTCCATTTCAACATTCCATAATCGAATTTATATCATCCACATTATCAATAAATCTTTTCCCCCAAATCCCCTTTATTAAAACATAATTCACAATGCATTTAACAAAGCTCAATCGCAAAGTTTAAACATAATTTTCAAACATAACCAAATTCCAATTAAATTTGAACACATCTAATTCAACCTACCACTTTCATGATTCAACTATCAATTTGGGCCAAAACATGGATTATCATCAAAAATCAACCTAGGGTTTCTAAGAAATCTACAAATTTCAAATAAAATTTTAAATCTTCTTAACCCATTACTTTTTATTTCAAATCTTCCCATTTATTAGGCACCCTAGGTCCATAACCCATAAACCATACTCTAAACCCCATAATAGAACCCCAACATACCTCAAAAATTTCAAAATTCCATTCGGTAGAAAGTGGTGATCTCCTCTTATTCTCCATCCTTGATGCAAGATCCATGGTTGATTTGTTGAGAAAAGTGGAGGAAATCAAGGTTTTGGGAGCTAGGGTTTCGGACATGGAAGAGGGAAGAAGAAGAGAGGAAAAGAAAATCTAAGAAATGACTCAAAAATCACGTTTTTCAGCTGCTGCCCCGCACATCGCCGCACGTGCGCCGCATCTCCCGCACGTGCGGTCCTGCTGCCAGCACAGATATGAAAACTTCAAACAGGCGTAACTCTCTCATCCAGACTCCGTTTAAGGTCATTCTTGTGTCCAAATTGTAGCCCCAAAAATAAGCTGTCCAATGGTTCTAACCTTGCATCCAAATTCTAAATGTGGAAAAATAAAAGGGCAAAAGAGTAACAGCTGATCGTGGGCGATTTGGTCGAATTAAAGTTTTTGGTCCAATCTTACCTCACCATCATATTACCCCCACAATCAATACCCCAAAATAAAATAGGGAGGTTCCAAATACACTAATAAAAATGCCACAGATATAAATCACTTTTCACAGAAAACAAGTAAATATACAGAATAACAGATCGAAAATATACTAGAAACAGATATGAGGGTCGGGTTATTACACTCTCCCCCCCTTAAATAAGTTTGGTCCTCCAAACTTGTTTTACCATATGATAAAGTAGAAATCTCAGTCTCACATTATTGTTCAATTCTTTCATAAATATTTACATACTCTGGTTCGAACAATTCACAGGGTAATCCCACACTTATTGCGATAAGGAAGATAAGATTACACGAGTCCATTGCAGAATATGTAAGACAGAAAATCCTTAGCAGGTAGGGTCTATCATTACAATATTTCCCCATCAATAAGTTCCACAGTGTTAATGCCCAAATTCAGAACATACAATTCTTAAATACAGAAGTATAATAGATTTCGTTTTCCTAGGCACAGAATTCATACATTCCACAGTATGCATTAATTTCAATCATCATATGTTCTTTGCTATGTTCATATGCAAATCCCATTACTTGATAAGTCCCATATTATAAGTCACTTAGGGATAAGCTGGTAACCCAAACTGTCTATCATCGTCACAAAAATCAATTATGTAATTAGATTCATATCATATAATGCATCATGAAATTAAATACCAAAGCCATCCACAAGGTTCAGTCCATTTAACAAGGTATGCATCATTCCAACAGGCATAATAAGTTGCGTAAGCATATAGTCACTAGCTTCACATTTGTTCTTAGTATTCTCTATTTCCGTAAACATATCAAATTCATAATGTTATATGGACTCAAAACCACACATACGAATTTGGGCAAAGTCAGAATAATGGAAAGAAATACCGTAACTCAAGGAGAACCATAGTCCAAATCCAACAGTTACAATAATATCATAACTTAGCATCATACATTTGTACAATTTCCTGTAAGTACGCCATGAGAGACGCTTAATCAGAATATCCTAAGTTTGGATATGAGCAATAAAAATATATAAGGTAACTATCTTTTTAAGCGTAGGGAGCCATCCGAAAATAAAACCAGAATCAAATTCAAAATCACGGTCAGTTAATCAATCATAACTTTAAGGCATAACGTCTTCTCTTAGAAACATTCTTCTTAAGTTGGCCTCTCCTTTAATCATTTCAATTTCCCACATATGTAAGTCTGGTTAAGTCCATTTATAGGGTCATAATTCCAGTAAATACACCATAATCACATCCATTAGGGTTCCATAATATCTAGAAATTCAACAGTATAACGGTAAAGTGCTTTAATCATGTAGTGCGTATTGTACAAATTTGTATAACATGCAAGAGGAAGTGGATACCCCGTACGTATCGCTGGCCCTTCATCATTATGGATTATCCCCCCCATAACTATTTGTTTCTGTCGAAATGCGCAGTGTCATACAGAATAATTTACGTTATGGTCTTCCAATAGGCAATAAAGGATCAAATTGCAATATCTAACCTTTACATATCTTCACAGAAATATATTACAGAGATGATTTCTCAATCATTAATACCCATAGGTAGGGTTTTCGTTCTTGCAGCAAATTATCAGATCCCACTCATTGAATTTAGTTTCACGGTAGTCCTTAACTACCCCTTTATAGGTGTTATATATGCAAGCATATAAGATAGGTGGGGCTCTTCGTGTTCTTCGGGCATTTCTTATAAGAAATCCCGATTACAGATTACAGACGTAACGTAAACAAAACAGATTACAAATTTCAGATTTCAGGTTTCAGATTATAGATTACAGAGGGCAAAGTACAGACAAAATTATGGTTACAGATTCCCATAATCAAATTCCAGTTACACACAAACACTACTCCTTCCTTAATTCACGAAATCATATTACTTACATACTCTTTCAAGATCCTTAACTAACTCGTCAATATAACTTATTTATTTAAATCATTAGCAAGAAGCAAGGTCACAATTACTTGATCCTTTTCACAACTTTAGGGGGTCACTACATGCCTGACTTTTTCTTAGAATCGGTCGTACTTAACACAATTTCAATCCTTACACAAAACACATCTTATGAAAATATTCAAACACAATAAATTCTTAAAATCACGAATCTCAACATGGTTATGGCAAGAAAAACATAACTAAGAGTATCATACATATAGCATTTCCTTTGATCTCAGGAATATTCAGTACTTAGAATTTAATCAAGTCACTTAAGCAGATGCTAAAAGCCCATTCATATTATCATTATTCCCATGATAACTCACATTTCATCTAATCATTTGCATATACATTGTCTTACCAACTAGCTCGAATCCTCACCACGCTTCCGCTGCGCAACTTGCTTGATTTAATCCCATCTGCAGATCTTACCATGTTCTACAGGGCAATCAATCACAACATATACAAGAAATGTATAACAGACAGGAATAATAACCATTGCGGTTAGCGTCATTACATATACCATTATCGTTGCTATCAATTCCTTTCATATGCACTAAGGATGTCATGCATGATGCCTAAGTCTTTTCTAGACATCCTAAAGCTCAATGGATCCGTGTGTAAGATAGAAACTCGTGCTCTGCTACCACCTGTCATGCCCCGAACTCGCCCCTAAAAGTTCGGGCATGACCCATACAGAAACAGACACTTAACCTGCTATACGTAATATATGGGGCGTTGGCGGAAGCACTAAAATTTAACATAATAACAAACTCCATTGAGCTACCTCTAATATGCCAGGATCACATGCATCATATACATTATAATAACCAGTCACAGGCCAAAATTATACTGTATAGATATACATATACAGCCCCAGCCCTAAGATTGGGCATATGCAAAAACATTGAAGTCATGTACATTTAACCTTAAATTTGTAATTAAAAAAAACAAGACAATGTCTTAACAAAGCTTCACAAAACTGAGTGATCTCGCTTAGTGCCTGGACTCGTAAAGGTTGACAAAAAGGGACGAACGTCCTGGTTGGTTACCTACAGGAACAGACATACGGAGGGTGAGCCAAGCTCAGTGAATAGTAATACATAAATAAAATACTGCTTAACTTGAAACATTGTATAATAGAAATACACATGGATTCGTAACATCTCAATATTTATTGAACCATAAATTGTGTCTAATATGTTTTGGAAATAAGTGAGGATAGACATATGAACTAAATGCAACTTTTCAAATGTTCCTGAAAATGGGTCTCCGCTCGAGCGGACCATGCAATTTCTGAAATTCTACAATGCCAAGTAAAGTTCCAACCTGGTATTCAAAGCTTCAAACATGTACTTTCGTATACTAATGCAGCATTCACAATGCGAGTCTGAATCTGTTCTTATTCATTATAGACTTAGATCTTATCATGAAACATATTGGCTTGAATATAATGGTTTGGATTAATATCCTTGTATAATGTGGCACAAACCCTTAATCATGGTGACACGAAGCCCACTAACATAGTGGCGCAAGGCCCTTAGATACTTACCAAGCTTCAAAACATATACTTACTAAGCTTTAAAACACATACTTACTAAGCTTCAGAACATATGCCTATCAATCTTTAAACATATGCTTACCAAACTTTAAAACATATACTTATCAATCTTTAAAACATATGCTTATCAAACTTTAAAACATATACTTAAGCATACAATGCAAAGTCCACATGGTTTGTCTGAGTCCGTTTCACTTTATAGGTCCTTTCTTGAAACATATCAGCTTGAACATAATGGTTGGCTTAAAGCCCTTGAATGGTGTGGCATAAGCCCTTAAACATTGCATAAAGCCCTTGGAAGGTGGCATAAAGCCCTTGAAAGGTGGCATAAAGCCCTTAAACATTGGCATAAAGCCGTTGGAAGGTGGCATAAAGCCCTTGAAAGGTGGCATAAAGCCCTTAAACATTGGCATAAAGCCCTTGCAAATTGGCATTAAGAATGCCCTTGTAAATTGGCGTTAAGCCCTTGTAAATTGGCATTAAGAATGCCCTCGTAAATTGGCGTTAAGCCCTTGTAAATTGGCATTAAGAATGCCCTTGTAAATTCTTGTATGAACTCAAGAGGTGTCTCACACGGGTTCTAGCGGTGACTCACAATGTAGCACTTAGTCCCGTGTAGCACTTTGTTTCATAACGTAGTTACTTCCATCGTATGGCCAAAGGCCCATAATCTTAAAGAATGAAAACACATCATTTTTCCTCCTTTCTTTATATACACACATAAAAACATAACGTAATTACATATCGTGTATAAACAAGGTGTTAATGACAATCATTAGCTATATATATGAAGCAGATAATGGTACTACTACTCACAGTGCTATAACGGAGTGCTTGTCCTTCTCAGGTTATGCCCTACACATGTAAAAAACTTATACATTATGGGCATCAAACACAAATTCCAGAAATACTAGAGGGTTAAGCACGTAAAACAGAGCAAACAATATTTTGCAGCATGAAGTTTCAAACCCACTTCTCCAACTCAATATATATATATATATAAAAGATTACTAGTCTTACAAAATACATTATGGAATTTATACCCATTCCTCTTCTATTCAAAGAAAGAAAGGATTTTTATGAACATTTCCATGTTCCCCAAAACTCCTTAAATTTCTAGTGTTTCCACTAAAAACCAAACATTTCCCCATCCCATAAGAAATCCTATTAAATCATTCTCTTGATTTAATAATTAAGCAAGCCCACAA